AAAATGTCGGTAATGTTATAGGTCAAACGTAACTTAAAAAAACAGAAAATATTGCAGAAAAGTGACTATTTACTAATTGATCTGTTTCAGTGATTTTTTTAAATTTCAACTGGAAAAAAAATATGAATTTTGTTCAATTATTTTGGCACACTTTATATTAGACCTACATACAGTTGTCAAATTCGAATTATTGGTTTTTATGGTTCTATTTTCAGTTACTTTTTCCATTATTTGGCCATAGAAATTATGTGAAAATGAAGTGAAACAAGTGAAAACAAGAGACAATATGGCCCAGCATTATACTTCTCAGTCTTCCCAAAAATGCGGAATATAAATATTTCTTGTCTTTAAACTTTCCCTTAATATTTTTATTTCGCTTACTTATAAGAATTTGGTCTTGGGAATTGGCCAACAACGTGCAAGGGGTGGACCCTGTGCTCTTAATATTAGTCCTAGAAAGTTAAAAGTTAGGAACAGAAACTTTCAAGTTCAGGTCTTCTTTAACACTACGTTACCATTTTTATTTTTAATTTGAATTTTTCTATATTGTACACGTTTGCTTTCACCATCTGTCGTTTAAATACTCAAAACATCAAGATTTTTTCTAGGTTACTTGGAATCATCTGTCGCTACCTCAGGTGCTTCGATGTTAATCTGATAAGGACACCGATTCTAACAACTGATTATATACGCATCAACCTTTTGTATCCGCTTCCTATTTTCCTCTTCTTAATCATGACCTTTCAGAGACCTATCCATAAAAAATAGTACGACTTGAGTGATATATCAGAAGTTATTTTTCTTGAAATTATTTCAGAGTGGTAGGTGCAGACAGGATCGAACCAATTATTTTTAGACGATTACAAGGGATCCATTTTGAGGAAAAACAAAATGTTATAATCGACAAACGACAAAATCCGTCTATTTGTTCGGAGTTTTGGTTTTACTAACAATTTCAATGAAGATACAATGCATACGACGGGACAAACGTATTCGTATTAACCTGAAACGTACAGTATCTCTTGAATCTGATTTAGAGGGAATTACATAGGAATGACGGTTCAACGATCAGCGTGTAATTCGACACAAACTTGCTTTAGCGAAATAATATCAGGAAATGGGTATAAAGATCTAATTAAATGAGATACGTCTGCTGCCTCTACTGGTAGGGAAATTTTGACTTCAAAGTTGTTTGTGCAAATGCGATTTTGGCGTGTTGCACTTTGTGGTTGTTGCAGCGTTTTAAAAAGCACTGCTAGAAGGATTAGGCACTAGTGAGCTGCACCTGGTTCTCTTTCAAATCTAGCATAGATCAAACAAAGAATATTGATGAATTATAAAAAGTATCATTAAGAACAGAAAATGATCATAAGAACATTTCATTTACTTATTTCATGTTAATGACTACTAATCTTCTAATGCATATACTTATGTATATGGCCATTAACATAAAAGTGTTGGATTTTCTACGAATACGCTGATTTCCAGAGCATTTTAAAGAATAAATAATTTATACTTTGAAGATTATTTTAGTAAATATAGAAGCAGATGAAAGGAACTATTCTGCTTTGCATGTACAAACATATTTTTAAAAATAAAATAAAATAAAATGACAGTAGATAAACAAATACATTTTATTTAGGGTCGTATCAAAAGTGCACGATTTAAATTAAAGGACCTATCAGTAAGAACATCGATATTTTATTAATTTATTCATTTTTAAAAGTGTATACATTTACTTTGCTATTAAAACAAGTTTCAGTTGAGAATTCAGGATAACTTATAATTCCTCGATTTGATATAATAGACAGACTCTCATTATTTGATTTGATATCGCAATTTTGTTTCGAAGAATTGTAAGTAATATTCGCCGCCATCGATGACTTCCAGCCATCGTGTCTCTTCAACTTTAAAATCTCCTTCTTCATCTGCAAACACGATTAATAGTGGATAACGGTCTAATATCTTGACTTGTATGTAGATTGATATATCCAAGCAATTTCGCTTGATATTTTCCCAGAGGTATTAATATCTACCGACTAAACAGAACACTTTCCATTACGGTAGCTAACAAATAGATGATTATTTATTATTGCTAGTCACTAAAGAATGGAGTATTTCAATTATATTTTTAAGCATCTTGTTTCAGCGTCAATAATGAAAGGTCGAGATTTATTGGTATTTGGCTTTGGAACTTTTGGTATCAACACATTACCGATATCTTCTACATCACCAACAGTTATTTTATTAACTGTTTCCACACCAGCAATGCCAAAAGTTACTACAAAAAATTATAAAATAGATTAGAAGTCAGTTTTTTCAAAGGAATTATTGAATTAAAATTACCTTTGTTTACATTTATATATTCTCTATTGAAAGCGCAAACGTTAAAATAACGTTTATTGATACCTTAATTTTTAGTTGAATAACTATTCAAAAGTCAAACATTTATTTTATGTACTAATGCCCAGCTAACCGAAGTAATTTTTAACGAGAATTTTGACGTTATTTTATGGCTTTTCAGCACTCTACTTTGAAGCTTTTAACAACACAAATTTAGCGTTTCTTCCAATTACATTACAGACGTGGAATAATCGTTTAAACTGTACGTTTACTTTTAAACAACGTTATTTTTAACAGTACGACGTTTATTTAGTGTTGCGTTTAGATCTTACTTAGCATTATATTTGAAATAATTGCCAAGTGATTGAATAATTGAATTGCAACAGAGATTAAAGCTCTTTTATCACTTTAATTTACAGTCCTATGTATGTAATACATAAAAAAAGTATTTTATAAATGTAGCACTGAATGCAAAGTTATAAATGAGTCTTAATTTCTGTCACAATTCAATTAGTCAGTTTTAATGCCAAATGCTTTAACTAATAGTTGGATCGCCAAATAAAACAAGTTACTAATATTGCAGTATAAATGGTGTTCTAAAAGTATCGCAAGATTTGAATTGTGAGCCATTTTCATTCCCATGAGTTGGCAGCATTGTGAGGGTCACATGTTGTAGTAAACATATTGCTGTTAGACAACAAGGAGACAACGGATGAGCGAGTGAATATTGTGAAAATTCATTACAAGTACGGAGAGTGTATAGCTGAGACTGTGCGCAATTACATGGAATTTTCGGTAGAAGGAGCGCCCGAATGAAACAACATTTCAAAAAGCACAATGCAGCGGATTTTAACAAAAGATCTGTATCTGCATTCATTGAATCTTCAGTTAACCCAGGAATTGAAACCAGACGACTATTTAGACAACCTTTTTAATTAATAAAATCTGTTTTTCCTCGTATGCAATCCTGCATTTCTTTTGAGATACCTTTTGTAAGCCGTAGGGTTGCCTGACCACAGGAAAACATCATTGTAAGTCAGAAGTGATGATCCGATCCTCTCTATTCCCTGTTGTTCCAAAGAAGTTGGTCTTCCTCAGATGACTATTATGCCACGATCTTCATCTAAAGGCTTATAACGTCCAAATTATTCAAGAACTACAGCCAGCTCTGATCATCATCTGTGTCGCACTTTCGCGAACTGGGTTCTGGAGCAGTTGGAACTCGACCCACATTTTGGGGAACAATAATTGTTTTCGATGAACCGCATTTCTAGGTCAATGGATTCGTAAATAAACATAATTACAGAATTTGGGCTGATGAAGACCTTCAAATGATTCAGAAGAGGTCTCTTCATCCTTAGAAGGTCACCGTTTGGTGTGGTTTTTGAGCTCGAGGTGTGATGAGACCTTATTTTTTGAAGACGATGATGTTAATCGTGTTACTGTTAATGAAGAGCATTACATCGATATGTTAACAGAATCTACATATAGCCTAAACTGGTAGATAAACAGGCACTTTTTTTTCAACAAGATGGTGCGACTCGTCACATCTCATCAAACAATTGATTTATTACAACAGTTTTTGAGTGAGAAATGCTAATGTCAACTGACCATCAGGCTGATATTCTCTCACCCCCTTGGACTTTTTCCTATGAGGTTATGTGAAATATTTGATTTACTGAAAGTTCAAACAATTTCCGGTCTTAAACTGAATATTCAATGCACTATTGAAAATATTGAACCACGTGAAATGTGTGAACAAGTTGTCGAAAATTGGATCTACAGAATTTAAGCGACATTATTTTTAAAATATAATGTCACGAATTGCACTTCAAAATATAATAAATATTATGGGATTATCATTTACAGTTATTATTGTGCCCCACTTTAAAGTTCTGGTACATTTATTGGAAAACTTGTGCAGTTATTGGAAAACTCTTGGTATTCACTACATGTATTTTAAGGAATTGTGCTGCCATCTGTGTAAATTTCCACTTACACTGCCCCAGACTCATCCTATAATTTTAATAAATGGGCGAAATGTGTAGAATTCATAACGGAGGAACATAAAACCAAGAAAATCAATAAACGATTTTCACGATTTTCTTTAGGTGATCTCCATGGTAGCTAGATGGCACTACGTTTGGAAAATCAATACGCACAGGTATCTACACCAAAGAAAATTCAATGAAATTAGCATCATCAGGCTGCTCTATACAGGTTCCTTATATAAATTTATGTAATAATAATTTCGTATATTATGTATTGAAAATGGATAAATGCATTTATTTCAGCATTGCAGATATATTTCTTAATCTTACCGAAACATAAAGTTTTCTACGATCCTAAAACATAAAAAATTATTAAATGAAAATCTTTAGTAAAGTAAATAAAGTTTTGTACATGAAGAAAAAATTACTTACTGTCTTGCTATATAAATTATTGTTTATTAAAAGCATTTGTATTCAAAGTGACAAAAAAATATGTGAATCCTTTTTTATGATTTCAGGTGGTAAAAGTAATTTACCTTATACATTGCAGAGTTCTTGATATATACTTAACAAAACCGTGAATTAAAATCACATCATGTATTTATATATATAGGCCCCATTTTCTACTTTATCTGAAAGTAACTAATTTATATTTTTTTTTAACAGAAGAAAGAAGATTTAATAAACGAGGCGCTACCAATGGTACTAAGAGCCGTCAATATTGCAAAAATGAAACCGACATTTGCACAGAATGGGAAGGCCAAACCAGAACTACCATAGCTTTGCATTGTAATACGAGTAAACTAATATCGGTAGGGGAAGTAAACACAACGGTAGGTTTTCTTTCTTATACAATCATGTTCTAGTTGTAACGATTCAGTTAAAGGAGCTTACATTGAAAAGTCCATAATATATAAATATTTTTACATCATGAATTATGTCTTTTATAAAACATGTCATTATAGCAGATTTAAAGAAAAAATAAGTTATCTATTAATCTAAATCTATAGTGCTTTTAACAGAAAACTCCTATTCAAATCTATAGATTTCTGTTATTTTCAAAGCTTTTATAAAGAAAGCTTCGAACTTCAGTATACGTGTATGTTTAATTTATAAGTTTCTTGTTAGAGGGCGCTGCTTATCAAAATCGATAAAATAGGTACACGAATGTACAATTCCATATTTATTAATTTTATTCAACATTGAATTCTTCGTAAATAATTTTTTACTTTTAAGAAGGTATCTTGTAGTATTAAAGCGATATTGATTACTGAAGTACCTACTACTGAAATAAACATTTAAATCCTTTTAAAAATATTGCAGTTTATATATTTATTACAGGAATGTAGTTAGGCATGAGTTTAATTAATCAAACTACTTACATACAAAATTGTGGATTGCATTGTACAGGGTGTTAGTTAGGTACGTTCACAAACTTCAAGGGTAATTCTGTTGGTGATTTTAAGCTAAAATTTAAAGGGAGATACTGGGAATTGCTGGGATGGAAAACTCGATGCTCTTAGATATTTTGAAAAATCGATTCTTGTAACTTTTTGTAACGTTTCCAAGAAAACAGATATTTTTCATTTTATTCGAGAAAGAATTGTTTTAGATTTACTATTTTTTATATATAAATATCTCTAGAATTACTCGTTTCTATAAGAAGTGAATAGGATTTTTTTTGGCTTAAAAAGTCCAAAAAAATCAATTGTGTAGAAATTTTGCCTTACCTTAAAGGTAGCAGAAGTATGGCCTGGAAAATTACATTCACTTTTTTTGAGAAACAAGTTGTCCTCGACTTATGTCAGGCTTAATGAAATGGTTGGTAACATTAACTCAAAACCAACACCATTACATCTGCTTAGATATGAAACTCGACAATATTTTGTCTGAAGTAAATATATCTTTCATATCATGTCTCTTTTAACACGAGATGAAAATGCATTAATTTTAGAGCGGGAAAGGTATTTCACTTCAAGTTAGAAATATCAATTTCTCTACTCGTGTATAGTTTTATGTTTAGTTCCAATGTCATAAGCCACATTTTTAAAATAAGTATTATCATCCTTCTGTGGTATTTTAAAGGTTTTTATGCATGCACAAAGCATACTCCGTTTAAATCTAAGTTTAGTTATTTCAAGAGAATCATAAACTGGCTGTTTTCGTCTACGTCTTAAGAGACAAATAATCCATGAAAATATACCTTACATAATACACTCACCAGCAAAAGGAACCGGCCACCCTAAAATATTTCACATGATTCCCCTTATCTGTTTAATTCACAGTTACCCAAGCTAATTCTTTTTCATTATCAATGCTTTAAAATGATTGTTCCACATCACGTAAGCCTAATTTTAATTTTACAAGCCGAAATTCCCTTTTCAACGACATTAATATGCTCGCGTAAATCACACAGCAGCTGACTACGCTCATTTCTTATCATTAATGTTATTTAAAGGCAACTAGGCTTATGTACATTGTTTTTGGAATTAAGTTTGACAGTTAATGAAAGTTTTCACCCGATAACAATGCCGTTGACTGTTGCTGACGCTTCTCAAGTTGTTGCATTAATTGAAGATGGACGTAGTTATGTGTCTCGTTCATTGGGAATATCTCGTACTACCGTTCAAGATGCGTGGAATCGGTGTGATTGACAGAGTCACGAGACAACTAGGATCCGGAAGAAAAAGAGTAACAACGGCGCTTGATGATCGTTTCGTTGTGCGAGGGGGTTCAAGTAAGTGAGAGGACGATTAGAAGGAGATTTGCAGAAAATGGTTTATCTTCACTGAGACTGGCCACAGGACCACAATTGCTACTTAGGCATTGAAGGGCAAGTCTTCAGTTTGTGCGATTACATGTAAATTGGATTCGTCGGCAATGAAGTAAAGTTCTTTTTACTGACGAGTCTCGTTTTACCTGCGATCACCTGATGGTCAGGAAAGGGTGTGGAAAAGACGAAATGAATGATATTCAGACTGCACCATCTCTGAACGAGTATCTTTTAAAGGAGGTTCTGTTATGGTGTGGGCGGGTATTTCTACGCAAGCACGTACCGACCTCATATTTGTGGATAATGGAGCTTTGAACTCCTGCAGATATGTGGAAAATATTCTTCAAGAAGCTGTCGTTCCATTTGTGTATTTCGGCTTCGTTTTCATACACGACAACACCTGACCACACACTGCACGAATCGTAACTGAATACTTAAACGAGGTATTCGTAGACTTGATTGTCCCGCATGCAGCCTGGACCTTAACTGAATTGAACTTCTTTGGGATAAACTTCAGAGGGCTATTCGTCGCCGACCTATTATGCCACATACCTACTCTTCAAGAGCTAAAACTGACCCTTCAAGAAGAATATGAAGCAATTCCCCAAATACGCTTAAGAAATTTAGCGTGTATGTCCTCGAGGAGGACATACACGCTATTGACAATAACCAGGAGGTCCATTAGAAACACTCACCAAAAAAGTGTAATTTTGTTCTGTTTCTGTTATTCTTTTAATTAAATTTAATTTTGTCTAAAATAATGTTTTTTCTTAGTTATTCGTTGCAACCTTAATCTATAATGAATGGTTCTGCAACCAAATATCAATACTAAGTTACATTAATTAATATTTAGGTGCTTTTATGAAATATTTCAGGGTGGCCGGTTCGTTTGTCGATGAGTGCATATGAGTAGAAAACGTATTTCAAAATAACATTTTAACTCCTTAAATAACTATAGACATTTAAACATATGTATTCTACGTTTGAGGATCAACTTAATATTCTTTTTTGTAGGTGATCTGGGTAAAGATGCACAATGAAAGCTTCACTATATTGACAGCAGGAATGCGAGTTATAACAGATGACAAACGGTTTCTTGTTTCAAATAATAAAGTGGATCCTAAGGTATAAACGAAATGCAACCTATTTCTATTTTTTTGTACAGAGCGTCAGAAAAATAAGTGCCAAAATTATAGCCACGCATTTAACTCATCAAAAACAACAATTATTCATATTCTCGTAAAGGATTGTGTACCCATTGAAATAGCGCTGCTTAATTTCGTTTGATGTGCTTAATTTTGTTTTTTATATGCCGTGTTATAAGATTTGTGATTTTATTGTGGCAAGTGCTTGGCGCTATCTATGTGCGGTTACCGGAACTACGTAGTGAGAAGCCTTCCGAGTGACAAAATTTCATCAGTATACCACGAAGTTTTAACGTATTGCGTGAGGCGAGTTCTATATAGTTGTCATGGAAACGCACATTGAACAGCGTACAGCAATCAAGTTCTGTTTTAAAGCCGGTAAGTTCAAAACATCGCAAAAGAAATAGAATTGAATGAAACGCCCAACAAAAAAATGTAAGAAATCGGCGCCAAAAACTTATTTGGATGCCTTTAACATAGGCTTTATTCGTCGACAAGTTTTTAATTTTTAAACGCATCCATATAAAATTCATCCGTAAAAAATTATGTACTGTAGTATAACAAACCCGGGTTCGATCGAAAAACAAATGTAAACGTAGTTGTGGCCAGAAATATGTGATCGTCATGAGGTATACCTACGTTGTATACATCTATTTTTAATTGACCGGAAGGCACTGACTACTAACTTTAAAATGGGGAAGTATGTTTTAATTTTATAAAACAAAAGCAGAGTAAATACACCTAACTTTATTATTTACGTACAACAATCTTCAAATTAAACATGTGACAAATAGAAAGAACAACAAAAACATTAACAATCATTTAATATAAAATAAGAGTGCCAGGCTCTCCTAGAGCTCCTGTGGCAGAGAAGAGCATGGCAGAGAAACCCACGATCGTTGCTCTAACTACCCAAATATAAATACAAAACAACCGATAACAAAAGGCATAAATTAAGATTCTTTGCTAATGATAAATAACACCCGACTTATTTAATTTCTCACTAAATGTCAACTCACTCGAATTTGACATACACACTTCCAAGTAAAACTGAAGAGGTTTGGTGTTAGTTAGCCAGCAGCGCCGGAAGGTACTGGAGTCCCATACGGGAGGCAATCCAGCTATGAGTTGAGATTTCGGAAGATCTGTTTTAGCAATTTTTTTTGTATTTAATTATTCTTTATACAGATTTATTCCTCACTGGCGAAAATGTTAGTAAATTCAACAAGGCTCTTATATGCGTTTGACATAAAGTGAGCACAAGAAATGCTTTATTATGTGTTTTTCGAACAATGTAATCATGGCAAAACAAGTTAAATGTGAAATAAAGGAGTTGTTATTGCAATATCTGGGCAGTCACGAAAATATATACATATTTTAACATGTAATAAATGATGAGCAATCGCTGATAATAATTGTAACAATTTTACCTTAGAAAAATATATGCGCTTAAGCATAAAGCAATGGAAGCTAAACGTACAGGCAACAATTGTTATCATTAAACATCTATAACCATCACAATCATAAGATTACATAGAACAATTAACAACAAAGTACTTAGAGAATAGTTACCTGCTAATTAATACGGGTTAAACACTTTGATTTTTCACTATTTTGCTTCACTGCCCGCCGATCGTCTTACTCCCATCTCCACACTGTTCTCACTTTAACTATTTAGGCTTCCTTCCAGAATTTCCCACCTAAGCGTTTGTTTTTGCGCTTCCTTCTACCAACTGTCAATATTATGTTTTCATTATTGTACAACACCCACGTAACAGGTGACGTCGAAGTTGATACGATAAGTATGGTTTTGCACAGTACCTCGTGAAGGCATATGACAACTTCCAAAGCAAATGCGATTTCGATGAATTAAGACGAGAAACAATCGAAAGTTTTTGATGGAAAAGCCGAATATTCAGAAACAGCGACAACATTATTTAAAGAGCTCCAAGCGTTGCCGTGAGGAAAATCGTCCGATAAATTTCATGGATGAAGCTTATGTTCATTCCTCGCATACGCAAGTTAAAGCGTGTGACAAAATTACGTTCTGAATTGGCAAGTGAAGAGGCACCGAAAGTTAGCTCCGGTAACTCAGTTGGTTAGTGGGTTCCTCTAAAACTCAGTCGTGAAAAGGGCGCCGCTGTACAGGGTTATTCACGCAACTGTTTCGTTGGAAGGATACGAAGTTACCATGATAGGATTTTAGTGAATGAAAATATTTTCAAAACTGCTGCACTTCCGTTTATAACGCAAGTTACCGCCAATTTTGCTATTTTAAGTGGAACACCCTGTATATTATTGCATTTTTGGATTCTGAATTAAATGATACGGCAACTTTGTATAAACTTTTCCATATTAAAATTAGCCGTTTTGAAAAAAAAAAATTGCATGCAACACTGTTGGCTTCAAAAACAGTTGACGCGGAAATCTTTATTTTTGGATCAATGGAAGTAGAAGTCATGGGGTTCCTTACGATGTTTTCAAAATTAGCCAGTTTCATACAGGTCTCTGAAAACTAATTGACAAACCCAAGGAAATTCAATTCATTTTTTTTAATGCAACACCCTGTATATTTTCACATTTCTGGATTCACTAGAAAAATCTACGTCAGTACATACAAGGCTATAGTTATTCTTGATGATTTATCAACACTTTTCTGTTTAAAATGCGAAAGATCATGTTTCGTGTAAGAAACTTATAGTCACCTATGAAAACAAAAGTCTATGCCCTGTCAAAGCATAAAAAAAAGACTTACCGACGCTACTGTGTTCCTAAAAATGGATGAAGTGAATAGTTATTCGAATAGTGATATTTTAAACTTATTCTTTATTCATGGCGAATGTAACAAGGTTCTGAATAGGACATGCTACACATTAAATGAAAAATATCCTCATTTACTAGCAACGACAAAAATGAAATTTAGGAAGATTGAATAAAATTTTTTACGTGTTGGGAGAGTTAACAGCAAGAAAGTTGACTAAAAAGAAATTAGTAAGACAGTATTAATTAAAAGTTTAAATGTTCTATATGGCGTCCATTTTGTTCTAGACACTTTAGCACTCACTTCGTTAGCAGTAGCACTTCTAAGGTGATAATTTTGGAACCCCTGAAAACTAACCCTAATTCTATTTAATAGATCCTCCATGGTAAGAATAGGTTCAAAATAAACTTGGCTGTTTATATATCCCCACAGGAAAAAGTAGACAGGTGTCAGATCAGGAGATCTAGGCGGCCAACTTCAAGGTCCGTTACAACCAATCCAGCAGTCATCAAACATTCCTGTGACTTCTTGATATATATACCTCGTGGGTAGAATGTGCTGGAGCTCTATCCATTTCATACCAACTATTTAGAACATAGATTGTCTAAGATGTTTGTCTTAAACTGTTTAGGTTTTCATTATAAATTTCGTAATGAACTTGGTCACCCATAATCATTGGAAATACGTTGACACCAAGAATCCTGATGGTGTGTCTCCTTTATAACGTATGGATTTTCACAGGCCAAGTAGTGCATATTCCTTCGATTTATTACACCGTCTCTGATAAACTTTTAGTTCCGACCAGATGATTTTTGATAAGAACTGTAGATCCTCTCGAATTTTTGAATTTTGATTTTTTATGAGCTAAAATTCGCAAAATTCTGTTCTCTTAGGAAACAGATAATATTGCTAGAGATATTTCAGTTTTCTTTTGTGTATCGTCTAAATACAAAAAAATGGTTGTTTATTTAACGGTTATCTTTCTGTTTTGTATAAAAAGTTGTAGTATTAGAGTTCTCTCTTTGTAACACCAGCAATACTGTATAATCTTTATTATCTTCCGTTCGGAATAGAAAAATTATGTCTATCATAGACAAAATAGCTAAGCTATATTGTTTGTGTGTATTAAAATATTATGTATATTTACATATTTATGTTACATGTGACTTTTTATTCCAATTTTTTTCATAAAACCTATTAATTACCTGTTCTCCGCATTAAACTGTTCCGTTAATATAAAATATATGTAGACATTTAATATTTACCCTATGCACGGTTTCATTATTAATTCAATGTGCTTATTATTTTAGGAGTGGATTTTGTTTATTAGACATTCGAAACGGGAAGACGAGGGGCTGTATAAGTGCCAAGTTTGCTCACAGTCAAATTTTAGTAACAGCATTTACGTGAACTTAAAGTTAATAGGTAAGTTAAGAACTTATACACAGAAAAATAATAAGTAAATATTAAACCTGATATGATGTCTTTTCATTTGAAACAATGTACTAAGGTAACAATTACACAGATTAGTAGCGATAGGTTAGTCAGTTTATTTTTTTAAGATTTAAGTAAAAAGCAATTGTAGTCCTAAACGCAATGTCCTAATAATGATACTGCAAGCCAGCAATATGTCTTTATTACTAAAGTTACAATTAATTCGAGTATTACTTTTAAATTGATTAAGTTTGACATAGTTATTAGCAAAATTTGATAAATAAAAACAATATTTTTAACGTTAGACACAGCAACTGAAAATTCTGATCCCTACCCACAAGTTTACTTAGAGTCCAGTACACTCATAGGAATTCTGATATTTTTTTTGGTACAAGGAATTCTCATAGTTAAAGTTTTCTATAGTTTTCGACCAATCTTGCTTTTTTTATGACTTGTCTTTTTTAAGAAATATATTGCACCTATTAAGTGTTCTTCTAGTTTCGTTTTATCTAACCACGGTTAACGATTTTTGATTTAAGAGGAGATTTGTACTAAGATTTGTTTTTTTTTTTTTTTTGTAGAAGCGTGGGCAACGATCTTAGGCGATCCTGAGAGGAAAGCGGTGAAAGTGGGATCGCCTTTACGCTTAAGCTGTGAACTGAAAGATTCCATCGAAGCCCCCAAGTACATCTTTTGGTATCACGATGACAGGGTGATCAATTACGATTTAAATGACGGTGCAACAGTACGTGAAGGTCGTCAAGGAAGCGAACTGATTTTTCCAAGGGCGCAGAGAAATCATACTGGCAACTACTCTTGTGTACCTTCGAACGCTAGAGAGGCTAGTGTCGAGGTGAAAATACAAAGTAAAGTATACATCGATATAGTTATTTTTCACCGATCGACATTAAAGGTGTAGTTTTAATAACAGCTATCAGGCAATAAAGTGTTACATTTTTACTGCCTCTAAATAAAAAATTTAAATGTGCTCTTTAACGAAAGTAATTTTATTTATTGTAAACATTTATAGTGAAATTAGAACAGCCTATAAGGGATATCCCTTGTCCTGTTTGTTTTGAAACATTTACTTCGTCTATGTAGGTTGAAGTGTTTTCACTAGTAGATGATTTACGGACTATTGAATCCTCCAAAGTGGTTGAATTATTTTAAAAATCGCTTCCAGCACTTGATGTACTTGCAGTAGGAAATTTTTTTGTGTTAACAACTGATTTACGAGTTATGGACTTCTCAATGAAGCCTTCAGCTACCGTTGAAGATTTCCATCCACCATTCCATCCAATTTTTAATATTGCGATATCAGCTCCTAAATTTATTAATAGTGTAATTGAAGCTCTACGGAAACAATGTCCGGTATTTTCGTGAGCATCTTGAGAAACGCAACAACTTGTTTTGGCATTTTCTCAAATGTATGAATTCCTATTATGTGATCTGTTACTACTAACTATTTTTGCAAGTCTAGATATACTTATGTCTGTCTAAATATTCGCTTACAATATTTATTTTCCTTTGTTTTATTTTCTATTTCCCATATCTTCAATATCTCCAATTTTTTAACGTGCCAACATATTCTAATGGAATTCTTATAATATGTTTGAGAATATGGTATACAGGGTGTCCCAGTGTCAGCGTACAAAAATTTACCAGGGGGTAGACCAGACTAAAATAAGATTAAAATTCTTATAAAATATTTTTCTGCGATGCACTCTCACTGAGTTACAGGGTGTTGTTTAGAAAAAAATAAAAACTTTCCGCAAAAACTCAAAAACCCTTTCAAGGATTTAAGTAATTTTTGGGTGAAGTGTACATCTATTTAAGGTCATTAAAACTACGTCGTGGTTATTTCGATCTGACGCCAGGGGCGGCCTAGGGCAACATGTCCTCAAGGTTATGTCTTCATAACTTTTGCATATCCTAGTTTTATGTAATTTGATTACGTTTTCCTGAACTTGCAATCGATTCTGAACAAAAAACGTGCTCTTGTTTCATAGCTCAAAAATGAACCATTTTCGAGTAAATTGGATCTAAAGTATCGACTGCATTAGTTCGTAGAAAGATGCATGTAAAGACTTTATTTCTTGTTATCTAGTTGGTACCTGTCATTATAAAAAACAAAGTTATATACCGTTGAGGTACAGTTTCCCATGTACCTGCGGCTCAATGAATATGAAGAAACTAAACAAGTTTTCTACGAATTATTTAATATTTGGTTACCTATAGGGGAACTAAAAATAAAATTGAAAATTTTGTAACAGAAACTAAATTATGTTAGCAAAATGACATTAAAAATAAAAATAGAAAACAATTATTTCCATAAATGCTCGAAATGCTGTCCATTTACTTCAATGTATGCCCCACATCGTTTGACCAAGGAATTGTAAACCCTTCACAAATCAACGATTACTTGAATTTGCTCGGCGGCTACATTATTTTTTTTAAGTAAATCGTCTCTCGAGTTTGGCATACCCCAGTTACTTCATATGACCCCAGTAAAAAAAATCAAGCGGGTTGAGGTCAGGGAACCTGGGAGGCCACATAACAGGTCCATTTTTTCCAATCCATCGTTTTGGAAAATGTAAATCGGGCCACGCATATACCTGTCTTCCGTTACGAGTAGTTGGTAGTACATTTTATTTCTATATATAGTAAAAATATAATGTATTATATTTTTATTTATTTTAATTATAAGAATGCTAATTTTCCAGCTCTTTACGAAGAATTATTGTCAACTGATTGGTCTTGTATATCTTCTGTCCCTAATATAAATGATGCTGTAGAGATGTTTTATGATATCCTTAAGGAAATTTTGTCCAGACATGTCCCACCAAGAAAAAACGTTGTTTTTAACAGGCAGTTCCCTAAGTGGTTCACTAAGGAAGTAATCGCGGAATGGAAGCTAAAAAATAAAGCTTATAAAAAATATAAATCTACTAACCTCCTGGAAGATTATGACGAGTTTAAAAGAATAAGATCATCCCTCAAAATTAACAAAAAAAATGCTTACAACAATTTCATTGGTGACGCTGAAAATCGCAATCAAATCCAATCCTAATACTTTCTGGAGTTTTCTGAATTCAAAAAAGGATACCAGTTCTATACCTTCATCTATGATAAATAATGACCACTTTATAAATGATCCTCAATTAATCGTTGACACATTTGCAGCATTCTTCTGTAACGCATTTGTTTTCTCTGAAGAATTTAATAACACTGTGGAAAGTAACAAATGTCATGTATTACATATGATGAAAATCTCTGAGTCCGATATTATAAAGGCAATTAAAAGACTAAAAAACAATATGTGTATGGGCCCAGACCTAATTCCAGCATTTTTGATTAGAGATTGCGCTGTAATCTTCTGCAAACCTTTGCCTATCCTATTCAATCGTATACTTACATCTGGTGAATTTCCTGATGACTGGAAAGTATCGCGTATAACGCCTGTCCATAAGAAAGAAGCAAAAAATGAATTCACAAATTATAGGCCAATTGCTATCTTAAGCAATTTCTGTAAGGTGTTTGAGACTATTTTGCACAATTTAATATCATCCCATACTTCAAATATAATTATCCCTGAACAGCACGGGTTCATACAAGGACGGTCAACAATTTCAAACTTACTGTATAAGACACAATATATTTCTGCAGCTCTTGATGTCGGAAGTCAGGTCGACGTCATTTATACGGATTTTTCTAAAGCGTTCGATAGTATTGATCACTCCAAACTATTAAATAAACTTAGCAACGTAGATCTATGTAATAGTTTAATAAAATTATTTCATTCATACCTCCGTAACCGATCCCAATATGTGCAATATCGTGGGTTCAAATCAGATGCGTTTCTTCAAACATCAGGTGTACCTCAAGGGTCCATACTTGGACCTCTTCTGTTTGATATTTTTATGAATAATATTGCGGAAGATCTAAACATTCATTATTTATTTACGCTGATGATGTAAAAATATTTGGTCAGATCAACTCTGTTTTGGACTGTGAGTATCTTCAGAGAAATCTTGCTTCAGTTAATGATTGGTGTAATAAAAACACGTTGCCTCTTAATATTAACAAATGTAATGTTATGTCTTTTCATAGGAAAAAAGTGCCTATCACATTCGATTATGTATTGCAAGGCAGTGTTCTCAAGAGGCCTGATTGCATTAAAGACCTTGGTATTATTTTTGACGCGCAGCTGAGTTTCTTGCGGCACATCCACGGTTCCTTAGCCGATGCGTATAGGAGTCTCGGATTTGTTTTGAGAAACTCTCGAGACTTCAGAAACCAGTCCACTCTGCGATTATTGTATATAACTTTTGTAAGATCCAAATTAGAATATGGTTCAGTTATATGGAACCCAATTTATATTACATATACCTTCTTATTAGAACGGGTACAACGAAGATTTTTTAAATCTGCCGCATTTCTGTTGGATGGGGTTTATCCTGCTCGAGGTACTCCACAACAATTATTCTGTG